TCCCACTGACTATCACACTAACATATCATGAGTTGTAGTTGTCACGATCGTGGCCTCAGACCCCAGACCTTCTCACCAAACTCGTGACCGAAGGACTAGCCGATCCAAAACCGCAATGTCACGTGCGTAACAATGCCACACCCAGCTGCACCCTGCACAACGATTTTCCAGCTAATTGGACCACAATCGATGTACTGGCAGCCTGAGAGATTGTTACTGGGTCAGGTTAATTACGCAATTAACCCTTCACACTGCCATCACCTCCTTTTTGTACAGAGAAAGGGGAAACTCAGCGATATCAGTTATAACACTATAATGGTTGAGGTAATCGTCTGTATAACACGGCTATACAGAGGGTTAAACAAACACAGTAGCGATCTCTTTAGAGGCAGGAATTCGTAAATTGCAATCAAGCACTATAGAAACAGTTCAACACTTTCAGAAGGAAAGATTTATTACTAAAAGGTCGAACGGGTGCAATAAAAATATTTACAGAAAAAGGTGTAATTAAGATATATATATATAAACATACAGAGACCAACAGCACAGCAAAGAGATTTCAGAGAGAGGTGAAAGGGTTAAAGTACTTGCCAAAGTCCTGGGTTAGCAGATCTAAGTTTCAGAGCAAAAGGGCACGGGTCTCCCCAGGTGGTATTGATGTTAAAATGGGAGACGTCTTCAAATTCTTTCTTCTTAGGCCTGACAGCCTAATTTGTAGTTTCCCAGCAGGGGGTGTCTCTGAAGTCAAGGACCAATACCCTGTTTAGGGCGTGTAGGTATGGGCGGATACCTCAACTAGAGCCAAAATCTACCATAACGCATATTTTGGCCCATAACTTTCCATCTGCACAAGTGACATTCCACCCGCGGGTAGATTATTAGGCAGACACATCTGAGGATTGATTAGATATGAATTATGAAATTATACATTGAATGGTTCACGAGATCTATTTTTCGGCTTTCCTATGTATTCGAGACAATGCGAGTGACCTACCAAACTGTTCGCCTTCTCGTGGCCAATCTGACGATATGTCCGGTTTTTATGTAAGTCTCTCATATACCAAGATATGAGACATAGGGGAAAAATGGATTTTAACAACGGTTATCTGATTCTGTCACATACGCTGAGTTAGGTTTATTAGGTTGGAATCTCTTTTAACTCCTGGGAAAGCTTGCCTTATCTCTTACGAGGTGTTACAATTTGCAGGTTCTTTGGACAGGGAGGCCCCGGTTCCCTTGGGGGGCTTTATAGCTCCTATGACCCTTCTGTGACATTCCTAACACGCACACATACTGGCCAAATGTCGCTGCACCTCTCAGAGAGGGAAAGGGAGAATGAGGGGGAAATATGTTTGTCAGGATGGTTAACCCCTTTGCCAAGATGGAGGTTCTTACCAAAATGAAGGACTGCGTCAGTTTCTGGGTATACGCTGTTACAGTAGTAACTTTTAGCAGGGGTTCCCTGAGACCAGAAAGTTATTTCAAGGGTTCCTCTGTGTTGAAAAGGCTAAGAATGGCTGGCTTAGAGCCTTTCTTGTGTAACGTGAAGTTCAATTCAAATATAAAAGGGCTGAAGATGGTTAATTGTCTTTATAAGATTTCCACATATGTGGATGACTTCCTCTTTTCTTATTTTCAACATAATTTCAATTTTTTTTTTTTCTCAAACAAACAAGAATGTAGGAAGGACAGTAGAGTACTCCCGATGGCAGATACACCCAAGAGAGGTACAAATTTCCCAGACAACATAGGATAACAAAATTATAGACAATAGAGAAATATTGGGCCTCACCTGGTATATGTAAGAAGATATCCAGCCTAAAACTCGCCTGAACCTAAATACTATCAAAATAACCCACCAGAATCAAGAAGAAAAAAAACATGTGCGTTCCCCAGATTCTGGGGCCAGATAAGAGAAGTTCCAGAGAGAAAAATTAGATGGGGAAAAAAGAAAAAGGGGGGGAGCTGGGAAAGCAGCAATAAAGTCTCTCTCACCTCTCCGCACTAAGGACCACGCCATAGTCTCATGTACTGTACATGTGAAGACGGTCCAATGAAACCACTTGAAACTTTTACATTGTAAAGACGTTGAAAGGCTTTCCATGGAATAAATTTTACTTATTTTAGAGAACCATTGCAAAAGCATGGGGGGGAGATCCCTGCTTCCAGAGTGCCGGGATACATTCCTTTTTCTGCGCTTAGTAGATGGACCAACATGAAACGTTTTATATCGGTGTCAAGGGAGAACCAATAGGTTGAATAAATATTTGGCTGGGTCTCTACCTAAGTTGAAATCAGTCAGATTTTTAATTGTTTCCCAAAATCTCTCAATGTTTTTACAAGGCCAGAAGATACTAGCATCCTAGTGCTGCTAGGCAGAAGTGCTAACCACGTAGCTACTGTGCTGCCCATGGTATGCTCCTCCCTGCTGACTTGAAAGCTACTCTCTTTAAATTTTCCACCACTTCTCCAGAACACACAAGCCCACCTTCTGAAATGGAACATGGGTTGGTGTTCCTGGTTTGGCCACAGCAACATCCTCAAGTTGACCTTATTACCCAAATACCCCTACCTGCTGTCGCCTTTGCTCATCCATCTTCATTCCTTACATAGGTCATTTCCATGTTCTCCAAATTTTTATGGGAAAATGGACCAGGCTTAAGCACCAGCTGTTGATTCTTTGGAAAGTCCATGGGAGCATTGCCCTACTCGATGTTTAGAAATATCACAATGCTTGTCACTTACTTAGGCTGATTGATTGTAGTAGACCCAGTGCCCTGAAAAGGTGGGTTGCTCTAGAACAGGCTTTCTCACACTTCCCCTTGCATTGTCCCCCCTGTTGCCTTCCTTCCATATCATCTCATCTTAGATCCCATCTGATGGTAGGGCCCTCCATTCAGAGTTCTGCATGAATTTTTTTGACATATAACTTATCTTCTATACACTCCCCTCTCTATACTATTCTCGGTAACCCAGATTCTCTCTTCAGAAGAACCATTTAGTAACCTTCTTGAGGACAACCCTTCTAGGCCTCTGATTTAAATTCATTATCAGTGGGCAATAGGCCTCCCTGGTGACCCTTACAGCATGGTTGGTATGAGACTTCAGAATGGTTGTATTAAAGCCTATATTTAGTTTAAAAAAAAATGTTAAAACAAGTACAAGGGACAGTACTTACATTTAAGGAGAAATGTCCCTTGTGCTGGTGGCTGCTGTCCTAGTTGAAAAATCTTCCTCCCCACACTCCAAGCGGTAATCTTTTGATGCTGTGGGGGTTAATACAGCTGCTGGGCCTGCCGTAGGCACTCGTCATTAACACTGACTATGCCCACACTTTCCTCCCTCTCCACTCTCTCCTCCATTCATAGATGCTGTACTTTAGCTACCATCAATAGGAAAGCACTCTATAAATGAAGGAGGTGGACCTTTCATTCATCCAAGAGTCCTCCATTCATAAAGACCCTTTCATTGATGGAAGTTTGTGACAGACCACCTGGCACCCTGACTGGGTGCCTCTGCCAAACAGTGCCTCCTGCCCTTCAAACCCTTCCAGCAGACCAATAGTTAATACCAGCTCCTTACCCCAAGCCTCGTACACAGACACAAGAGGACATTCCTCTCTTGTGGATATTAGTAAAAACATGACAATGCAACATTTAAACATTACTCTAATTAACAGCTAGGCACCTAGACAAGTCTTATTAGTATGGCTAGCAGTCACAGGAATTCCCCACCCTGCCTCCCTTGTCTAAGTGCTGGAAAACATGTCCACATTAAGTGTTGATTGGCCGGGGCATGCCCACCAGGATGCCCAGAAACAATTCCACAGCTCCAGATACATAAAGTACATTACATCACTCATTTCTAAATGTCCCACCCCAGATCCAGCTCGGATCTAGGTTACCAAGTGGCACATCTTGGGAAAAAATAATATAAAAAGTTAGTAATATAAAGTTGACAGTAGCCAGGGCAACATGGGCAAATGCTGCATTATGCAGCTCTCGAGAACCAGCCAGAGCAAGATAAGATATATGTCCAAGAAGAGTTCCATATCCAAAGCATGGCAAGTGTGCGTATGCAAGATCTGTCTGACGCAGTGTTCCTGAGGACGCACCACTGTTATGGGGACTTCCTGGGCACATAATCCCGATAGATACTCCCAGCCAGTCAAAGGGTTTCAGGGCCCAGCTCTCCTCCATGCTCTGAGCAGAAGAAAAAGACAAAATCCCTGGTCTCCTCCATGGGTCATAATCAGTGGGTGGAATGCTAGCCCATAGTCTCATCCAAAAACCTCTTTCCCGGTTGGGTCTTTCACAGAGTTATAGCATAGCATCTATGAATAGAGGAGGGTTTACAAAGGGTTGGTATAGTCCATGATCTTGATGAGTGTTTATGACAGGTCCAGGGGCTGTGTTAACCCCTGCAGCACTGGAATTTACCGCTGCAGGAATGTATGTGGGGAGAGGGAGGGGGCACAGAATGGAAGATTTTAACTACAACAGCCAACACCAGAACAAGGGATGCTTCTCACTTAATGTAAGCACAGTTCCTTGTGCTGATTTTAAAAAAAATTTAACTTAACTTAGGATTTAAGGGGATAGGGTGGTCAGACATTTGATTGGAGGGCTAGAAACATGTAGGAAGCCTTTAAGCTCCGGTGCTGGATGTTTTCCATGTAGGACTGCCCCAAACATCAGATAGTTTTGCATTGGGGTCCATGCTCCTTACACTTGTGGTCATTGGGAAGAATTATCCTTTTACAGACAGCTAAAAAAGGTCAATGGTGTCAGTGGGAACTTATCTAAGAGGCAGAAATTGCTCATTATTCAAGGAACCCCTAGAAACCTCTGGAGGAACCCTAGAGATCCATGGAACCCTGGTTGACAAACCCTGTTCTACATTGAGGTATTTGGGAGTCAGCTAAGGCAGGGCTTAAAATTTCAAGTCCTGAGCTACTAGCCAGGCCTTAAGAGTTACTCGCCACCAACAAACACACAGACATGTACATACACACACAGAAACATATACACACACACACACACATACAGACACATGTATACACACCCAGGCACGTACAGACACGCATACACACATGTACATACAAATGTACATACACAGAAATACATACGCACAGACACATACATACACACAGACACATGTACATACATACACATGTACACACACACACATACATGTACATACACGCAGACACATGTACAGATACACACATGTACATACACACGCACTGTTAAGTGCTCTCTCCTCTCCCCTGAAGCCACCACTGGCTGACATAGAGGATCATGTGACCAGAGTGAATTGAAATTAGACACACACACACCTACACCCCTATAAAAAGTTGCAGTGCTTCGTTGTTCACTCACAGAGCCGGGTACTGCACTCTAGGGGGAGGCAGAGAGCACAGCACACACTTCTTGCTTTGCTATCACTGCTCTCAGCTATTGAGCAGTCTGACGGCTCCCAGTGCCACTGACAGATCCGGCCTGAGCTCCGAGCCTGCTCAGCAAGACGGCCCTGGGGGACACACTCGCCCTCACCATAAATTCCACTCACCATTGGCGAGCAGGCGAGTGGAAATTTTAAGGCCTGTGCTAAGTTATTAATATGTCAAATGTTTATGGTTGGGAGGTCCTGCATGGCACTTATTTAGTATTGGAGGTTATTGAAAGAAACTTTTGGAATGCCATTACCAAGTTAAAGCGTAATGATTAGTTTTGGATTTATTGAACTATTTACAAAGTATGAAGGTCAGAAAGGAGCTAAAATATCCAGCGTGATGAGAGTGCCGGGAAACAAGGAACTGTGAAAAGTAAAGATTCACTCTACATGTTACTTTCTATTACAGGAAGAGAAAATAACACTTTAATATTTCATGGAGGGCTGCGCACCACGTCAGCTGCCTCGTCAGATGTAGTTATGTGTCAGTTATTTATCAGAGCAGAAAGTTTGTCGCTGAGCTCAGCTCAGGCAGGGCGATAGGAGTACAAACCTGAAGATGACATCATAGACTCCACCACCAAGCACCACAATCACAATAAAAGCTCCTCACGTTGTCATATGAAAGGATTTCCAAATAAGGGATTTGGGAATCTGGAGGTCAGGCAAGGTGTTCCGAGAGAGCGGAAATGAATGTCTCTTGTAATTAATGATGTGCTACTCGAGCAATTTCTTAAAGGAATGATATGAAGAAGTTCTAAAGCCGAAACATTTTTTACCTTAATACATTGTTGTTAAAAATTGTTCCAGTGCCTGTATCTCCTCCCCACCCCCCTTATATTTACTTGAGCCCTCACTCGATTCACTGTGCCCGTCTATAGTGGCTTCCCCTGCTCTCACAGGCTTTGGTGAGCCAGTGGGAGTCATTGGATCCCACTGCTGTCAGTGAAATCTTGTGACCAGGGGCGGGGTCTATGGATGCAGGCAACGCAACTCAGGATTAAGCCTGCAGGTGTGCCACAATAGAATGTGGCACATGGAGAAGAGGAGGAGCCAGGAGTGCCAGTGGGGCATCCCAGAAAAGGGTTCAGCTTTCATTGTATATAGCCTGCATAGTTCCTGAACTAGGAACTAGTTCTTCCCACTGACCACCAATGTAAGGAGCATTCTTCCCACAGACCACCAATGTAAGGAGCATTCTTCCCACAGACCACCAATGTAAGGAGCATTCTTCCCACTGACCCCCAATGTAAGGGACATTCTTCCCACTGACCACCAAAGTAAGGGACATTCTTCCCACTGACCACCAATGTAAGGAGCATTCTTCCCACTGACCACCAATGTAAGGGACATTCTTCCCACTGATCCCCAATGTAAGGAGCATTCTTCCCACTGACCTCCAATGTAAGGAGCATTCTTCCCACTGACCACCAATGTAAGGAACATTCTTCCCACTGACCACCAATGTAAGGTACATTCTTCCCACTGACCCCCAATGTAAGGGACATTCTTCCCACTGACCTCCAATGTAAGGGACATTTTTCCCACTGACCACCAATGTAAGGGACATTCTTCCCACTGACCACCAATGTAAGGTACATTCTTCCCACTGACCCCCAATGTAAGGGACATTCTTCCCACTGACTCCCAATGTAAGGAACATTCTTCCCACTGACCACCAATGTAAGGTACATTCTTCCCACTGACCCCCAATGTAAGGGACATTCTTCCCACTGACTCCCAATGTAAGGAGCATTCTTCCCACTGACTCCCAATGTAAGGAGCATTCTTCCCACTGACCCCCAATGTAAGGGGCATTCTTCCCACTGATCACCAATGTAAGGGGCATTCTTCCCACTGACCACCAATGTAAGGAGCATTCTTCCCACTGACCACCAATGTAAGGGACATTCTTCCCACTGACCACCAATGTAAGGGGCATTCTTCCCACTGACCACCAATGTAAGGTTCATTCTTCCCACTGACCACTAATGTAAGGGACATTCTTCCCACTGACCCCCAATGTGAGGGACATTCTTCCCACTGACCTCCAATGTAAGGGACATTCTTCCCACTGACCACCAATGTAAGGAACATTCTTCCCACTGACCACCAATGTAAGGTACATTCTTCCCACTGACCCCCAATGTAAGGGACATTCTTCCCACTGACTTCCAATGTAAGGAACATTCTTCCCACTGACCCCCAATGTAAGGGGCATTCTTTCCACTGACCACCAATGTAAGGAGCATTCTTCCCACTGACCTCCAATGTAAGGGACATTCTTCCCACTGACCTCCAATGTAAGGGACATTCTTCCCACTGACCACCAATGTAAGGGACATTCTTCCCACTGACCAACAACGTATGGAACATTCTTCCCACTGACCCCCAATGTAAGGGACATTCTTCCCACTGATCACCAATGTAAGGTACATTCTTTCCACTGATCACCAATGTAAGGGACATTCTTCCCACTGATCACCAATGTAAGGGACATTCTTCCCACTGATCACCAATGTAAGGGACATTCTTCCCACTGATCACCAATGTAAGGGACATTCTTCCCACTGACCCCCAATGTAAGGAACATTCTTCTCACTGATCACCAATGTAAGGGACATTCTTCCCACTGACCCCCAATGTAAGGGACATTCTTACATTCTTAGTACTGACCACCAATGTAAGGAGCATTCTTCCCACTGATCACCAATGTAAGGAGCATTCTTCCCACTGATCCCCAATGTAAGGAACATTCTTCCCACTGACCACCAATGTAAGGGACATTCTTCCCACTGACCCCCAATGTAAGGAACATTCTTTCCACTGACCACCAATGTAAGGAGCATTCTTCCCACTGACCTCCAATGTAAGGGACATTCTTCCCACTGACCACCAATGTAAGGAGCATTCTTCCCACTGACCACCAATGTAAGGGACATTCTTGGTACTGACCACCAATGTAAGGAGCATTCTTCCCACTGACCACCAATGTAAGGGACATTCTTGGTACTGACCACCAATGTAAGGAGCATTCTTCCCACTGACCACCAATGTAAGGGACATTCTTGGTACTGACCACCAATGTAAGGAACATTCTTCCCACTGACCACCAATGTAAGGGACATTCTTCCCACTGACCACCAATGTAAGGGACATTCTTCTCACTGACCCCCAATGTAAGGGACATTCTTCCCACTGACCACCACTGTAAGGAGCATTCTTGGTACTGACCACCAATGTAAGGAGCATTCTTGGTACTGACCACCAATGTAAGGAGCATTCTTGGTACTGACCATCAATGTAGGGAACACTTGTTGCATTGACCTTGTTAGTTGGGTTTATGAAGGGTTCCTTGAGGGTTGAGATTGATTTTTGGGGTTCCTCTGTGGAAGGAAGGTTGAGAACATTTGCTGTAGTGACGTGTCCATGTCAAACATGTTTCCTTAGTCCAACGTCTACTTCTTCAACGTTCCGCAGACTCCAGGACTTTGCGTGGCCCATAAACCGGGACCTGATTGTCCAGCAGCAGAAGGAGTTAATAGCTGGCATAGCCAGGGCTGGCCTGGGAGGGATGATGTTAAATATTAATAATCCGGAGTTTTCGCTGTGTCTGGGCTGATGACTGTCATATGTGAACATCTCTCTGCTTTCCCCGGAGCTGTGCAGAAAATCCACTCAACCATATGTTTCTGCTCTTCTAAAAATACGACTGGCTGGGCCGAGGGAATAGCCTGCGCTCCGCTGCGTGCTACTGGCGCTGTGTCCTTTCTGACCAGTGTGCGGTCGGGAGGGGGGGGGGGGGGCACAGTGTCTGGGATTGTGGGATTGGGGTGGGGCAGTATTTGGGGGGGGGTGGCAGGGTGGTGTCAGTGCCGTCACTGTGCATGGGGGGGGGGCACAGTGTCTGGGATTGTGGGGTTGGGGTAGGGCAGTATTTGGGAGAAGGGAGGGTGGCAGGGTGGTGTCAGCGCTGTCACTGTGCATTGGGGGGGGGGGGGCACTGTGTCTGGGATTGTGGGGTTGGGGTGGCGCAGTATTTGAGAGAAGGGGGGGGTGGGTGGCAGGGTGGTGTCAGCGCAGTCACTGTGCATGGGGGAGGGGGCACAGTGTCTGGGGTTGGGGTGGGGCAGTATTTGGGAGAAGGGGGGGGTGGCAGGGTGGTGTCAGCGCTGTCACTGTGCATTGGGGGGGGGCACTGTGTCTGGGATTGTGGGGTTGGGGTGGCGCAGTATTTGAGAGAAGGGGGGGGGGGTGGCAGGGTGGTGTCAGCGCAGTCACTGTGCATGGGGGAGGGGGCACAGTGTCTGGGATTGTGGGGTTGGGGTGGGGCAGTATTTGGGAGGAGGGGGGGTACCAGGGTGGTGTCAGCGCTGTCACTGTGCATGGGGGGGGGGGCACTGTGTCTGGGATTGTGGGGTTGGGGTGGCGCAGTATTTGAGAGAAGGGGGGGGTGGCAGGGTGGTGTCAGCACAGTCACTGTGCATGGGGGGGGGGGGGGGGGGGCACTGTGTCTGGGATTGTGGGGTTGGGGTGGGGAAGTATTTGGGAGAAGGGGGGGTGGCAGGGTAGTGTCAGCGCTGTCACTGTGCATGGGGGGGGGGGGGGGGGGGGGGGGGCACTGTGTCTGGGATTGTGGGGTTGGGGCAGTATTTGGGAGAAGGGGGTGTTGCAGGGTGGTGTCAGCGCTGTCACTGTGCATGGGGGGGCACTGTGTCTGGGACTGTGGGGTTGGGGTGGGGAAGTATTTGGGAGAAGGGGGGGTGGCAGGGTAGTGTCAGCGCTGTCACTGTGCATGGGGGGGGGGGGGGGCGGCACTGTGTCTGGGATTGTGGGGTTGGGGCAGTATTTGGGAGAAGGGGGTGTTGCAGGGTGGTGTTAGTGCTGTCACTGTGCATGGGGGGGCACTGTGTCTGGGATTGTGGGGTTGGGGTGGGGCAGTATTTGGGAGAAGGGGGGAGGGGGTGGCAGGGTGGTGTCAGCGCTGTCACTGTGCATGGGGGGGCACTGTCTGGGATTGTGGGGTTGGGGTGGCAGGGTAGTGTCACTGTGCATGGGGGGGCACTATGTCTGGGATTGTGGGGTTGGGGTGGCAGGGTGGTGTCACTGTGCATGAGGGGGGCACTGTGTCTGGGATTGTGGGGTTGGAGTGGCAGGGTGGTGTCACTGTGCAT